GTGAAGGGGAATCGAATGCGCAACCAAATGAATTGAAAAGAAGTCAAGTGAAGTGAAGTGAAGTGAAGTGAAATGAAATGCACTTAAAGCAGAAACAGACCAACAGTAGTAGAAGATATACTCGTATACACGCTATAAATACAGCCGGAATCGACGAAAATGAAAATATTTACAACAGAAATAATTCGAAACAAGCGAAGATAAAAATAATACAAATATAAAAATGAAAATTAAAATTTATTTTATGATGATAAACATTCAATAATAATCGAAAATAATAAAAATATAAACTCACAAAAATAAACACATAAACGCATACGCAATGAGACGCACACTAGAACAATACAAGCTAACATGTAACATATACTCGTATGCATGTATGTGTTTGGAGATATGAATGTACCTCTAAATGCCTGATACTAGCACATATACTTACATCCTTTGTAGGCGCGTCCACTCCCTTCATAAGTCGTCGTTTATATCCACCCATACCGTTCATTACATCCATGCATACATGCATATGTTATGTATTTTGTTATTGTCGTGCAAACTGATCACGTATACGCCCCACATAACCTGCACGCTGGCACAATGAAAAGTCGAAAAAGGCGCTGCCACATTGTTTTTGCGCCCGTTGAGGTGGAAATTTCATACATATTTTTTTCCGTTTACGGATATATTATTAATATGTTCAAGTTGTTGTGTGCAAGTAAATATTATATTGTATATACACAAATATATGTGTGTAGGGTACTTATGTGCGTTCGTGCCTGCCTTTTGCGGTCACAGCATATTTTTTGCGAATTATTTTATTTTTTTTAATATGATTTCTCATCATTATTGTTTGATAACATATAGTATATCAGTATGTGTGTGCTAACAGGTAATACGAAAAGGTTGTTTTGCCTTTTATCGCACACTTTAAGTACTTAATTCGTGAGTCGTTTGGTTGGGTCTCCGAAATTTCGACATAATAAAATAATACACTAACAGTGTACAGGGGCTTTAAGTGGAGATATAATAATCAGTGTAATAAAATATTTATTTGGTAATTTTAGAGGATTAAAAAGGTTGTGATTTTAAACATTCACTTAAATAATTTTGAAATGTTTTACTTGTAAGTTAAGCTTAATTGAAGATGAGTTTGGCTCTTCTTTTTCAATGCCAATCAATAGTTTGTGAGTATCACTCTTGGAGCGCTACCTTATCTACGGCTATATGAACTTATTTAATAGGTGGATCCAACTACGCATAAATTTTTAAAAGTTTACTATGAAGCTTGCTTAGGACATAAACGCCAGTCACCAAAAAATAATAAGTATTTTAACGGTGTATCACAATTTTTTCTATCGAGTCATTTCTTTCAACCGAATGTCTGTATATTTGAATTAGTAGAAATGAAAATAAAATGGTAAATTACTTAAAAAATCCAGAACAATATTAACGGTTCTTAGAAAAGTAAAAAAAAAGAAATACAATTTCGATGGACGAGTTCGCTAGAAATATATAACGGTGAATTGTGTCTAACTGTCATGTTATTTTTTTCAGTATTGTCTGGTATTTTATCATTGAACAACTTACGCCTGAGAAACGTTTAAAAATCGTTCAATTTTATCACGAAAAATCCCATTCTGTGAAAAATTTGTTTCGCTCAATTCGCTCAACTTATGGTCAGCAATAGGCCTACTGAGCGTACTATTCGCAACATCATGACCCATTTCGTAACCCGCCAATCATCATTGGATAATACTCGGCCGGATAAGCCATATCCAGCCCGCAGTAAAGAAAATATAGCGACTGTAACTGAGATTGTAAACGAATACCGTGAATAGTCGATTTGTAGTCGGACTAACGCATGGAACGATTTGGCGCATTCTACGCCGAGATCTTTAATTGAAAGCATATAAAATGCGCTAGTGCAAGAACTGTAGCCGATCGATCTTCCCAAGAGCTTTATGTGCTATTGAATGCTCCAAGAGAATCTGATGTTTTCGAGCCAAATTTCTTTCAGCGATCAGGCCCATTTCTGGCTCAATGGGTATGTAAACAAGTAAAATTAGGTACGAAGAGTAACGTGAAGAGATTCAAGAGCTGCCATTTCATCCAGAAAAAACGGTTTGGTGTGATTTGGGGGACGGTTGGATCGTCGGTCCTTATTTCTTAAAAATGATATCGGTGGGAACGTAATCGTCAATGGCGACCATTATAGCGCAGTTAGGGGCTATAGAATTTACCCGGGGTAAGACATGCCTTTCGTAAGAGGCGACTTAAATCCAATAGTTCCCGCGATGGTCGGGTATTTATGCGGGAAAGAAACTGATTTTTAATCCAAAAAAACTAGTACGGAGTATATATTGCTTTTATAGCAACACAACAACCGTTATAGCACCATGAAACCCGACTATTCGGTGAATGAAATTAAAGCATTTGGGTTTATCAAGACGGCGCCACTTTCCACGCATCGCATCAGTCAATGGGTTTAGAATATTTCCTGTGGTGATATGTAAAGTCTTTGGAGCTAAACATCACTCGTGTCATTCGCCAGTTACCAGACGAAAAGATGGAACGAGTCATCGAAAATTGGACTTAATGGATGAACCGTCAGAGACGTGCACGGGCCAACAATAATCTACAAAAAACAAATACCAAAGAATTTTCTTTCGAATGATAATTAATATTTCCCATAAAATTTGAGTTTTATGCATTATTTAAAAAAAAAAAATGGCTAACTTCGGATAGGATTACCCTGTAAAAACTTTGTTTGGAACATTTAAAAGATTACTTTACTTTGCATAAATAAATTTGGAACTACTCGTATGGAAAGAGCTGATTAGAAAAAAACAAAACTTTTGCTTCAACTGGTCGTAAAATGTTCGCACAAAATTTTCAGCTCTATTATTTACCCTTTGGCTATTTAAGGACAGGTTGTACTTCCGCACCAACTAACTTTTATAAGTTCATTATAATTATATTCTTGATATCTGGAAATAAATGGTGCCCTCTTTACTATGAAAGAACTTTCTTTTCACTTCGTTTTCGATACCATCCCCATTTGAAGAAAATCACTTTGGTCTGAGACCAAATTAAGAGTTTGCGGCGCAAAACGTTTTGTTTCATCTAAATTCGATTTGTTCCATGAAAAAAAATAACAGCCTCACCAGCCGTGAGTATCCGAAGTGTGAAGCGAAGGGAACTCACTAATGTACTCACATTCAAAAAGAGGTGACTTCGAGCGTCCCGTGAAACTGTTTAGAGGCGTCCAGACAAAGAGCTGTTTTACTAATTTAGTTAACAATGCTCATTGCTCTCTGCTGACATGTTAATTGTGGATTAAAATGTCTAATGTGACATAACATGCTACCATGCGAAGGGTCATGAGTTCGAAACTGCGCTAAACCAGCAACCTAAATTATGGAAAAAATGTGTGGTTGCCCTTCGACGGAGAATACACACTCTATCAGTATCTCAATACTATTCGATAATCAAAGAGAAATCGGCCTGCCAATTGCTTAGAAGTTATATACTTAACGATACGATGTAAGCAAATAAACAAGTATACATATAATAGTAGAGAGACCATGTTGTGAAATAAAGACGCATCATCTAGGCGCGAGGGTAAAACGGACAGGTTGATTGCTTTTATTTTTGTGGAAAAACTTTTTTTATTTTAAGCCAGCCTCAAACAAGCCAAGAGTAGAGTATCCAATCGTAAAACTTCTGATACACCTTTATTGAAAGCGTCAAAGAAAGCAATTAATGCCGGTCATTTGATTGAGAGAGTGATGGCTTATCGCTTTTAACTTCCATCTTTCGGTTCATTTCCTGCCTGCTTGAAACTGTGGTTTTCAATATCTTTTATTTTCGCTCCTACACAATTTTCACCTTCCATAAACATTTTCAGACTTTCCTTACCAACATCCTTTATAAATTGCAGTTTGTGTAATTTTCCACATGTCCCTATGTCCTATCTTTTAAAGACGCTTACTAAATAGAACTACAACTGGATAGAAAAAAACTGTATAGAAAACATCGCCATTGAAGTGTTGCTGAGAGTGTAAGCTGAAGATATTTGAGGAGTTAATATCTCTCTTATATACTTCACTCTCACTTGAGCTGAACAAGAACTTTACCAGAGTTGTGCGAGTTTCTCATACAACTGTGATGACAACAACGTCGCCATCATACTCCTACTATGTAACTGCTACCATTAGTGAAATGAAAACTAATAACGTGTTCATTTGAATTTATTCCACTTCCTTTTTTGAACGCTTTGGAATACACATTTAAAACCACAATTGCGTTTAGTTTTCCGTTAGAATATTGAACTACTTTGCGGTGTGAGAACGAAAGGGAAGCTCAATTTAACTAAGCGACAGTTATTTCAGCACTACGCACTAGACATTGACAACGAAATGAGGAAGTCACAAAGTACTAAAAAACATTCCAAAAAAAAATTTTTTTCCTCCATTCCACCGTCTTGTATACAACCAAGCACATCAGCGTCGGGTTTCAATGAACGCATTTCAACATGACTGTGCCACACGCCGCACGCTGCTGCTAATGCGTGAATTTATCGTGCTTCCGTTTGGGCTGTCAACTTTCTGAATGAGCCGCTTTTGGCTTTCAGAACAACTTTGTTCCCAACTCCCTTTTGTGTATTTTTAACATATGTTTTAAGATTTTGCTTCTCAGCAGCGCAGAGTTTCTCGTTGAAATTTATTTTGAATTTTTCTTTCAACCACCATTTTTCAAGGCCGAAAGTCGGTAAAAAGCGCAAATATTTATATATTTTTAGTTATACATAAATATACATATATTTCTTGTTTTTTTGTTATTTTATATTTTTATCTACATATATATAGCTATGTATGTGTATGTATGTGTACTAAGCATTTAAATTCCGCCTCTCACTCATTCACTGACTTTCTTGCCGCTTTATACATATAATATTTTCTCTCGCATTTGATTATATATTTGCTTGTTGTTGTTTGTCATTTCAGGAAATTTCGTTTTGTTGTGGCGACGCGGCATCAACGTCCTCACTGCCTCCAATATAATGGTGACAAGGGATGAGCGCATAAGACTGATAGACGGTTATAATTTAGAGATATCAGATTTAGAGCCACAAGATGCTGGGGATTATGTTTGTCAAATCAGTGACAAAATAAATCGTGATCAAGTGCACACTGTGGAAATATTGGGTAAGTGAACGCGCAATGACCAAACACTTAGTTGGGCCAACCTATTGTATATACGTACATATATACATTCAAACACATATGTGGCTACATACAACCACTTGTTTGTATGTATATGAATTTATGCTATGAAATTGTATTGCCTTGAGGTAGCCATCTGCTAACTACAATAACAACCACAACAAAGGCACTTTGTGTAATGTCATAGCTAACAACAAAATTGTATGTACTCGTACATACGTAAGATATATGTAACAGCAAACAATATGCTCAATTGCCTATTGTGACATTGTATTCAAGTTATTTCTTCTATTCGGTTGTAGTGTAGTCAGTGTTATCTTTAATGCCATCACATGCTCATAGTTAAGTAAATAAATAAAAGAACCAAATATTTGCGTAAAGGTTGACCTTTACTGTGAGAAAACGAAGGTTTTTGGAAAACATTTATTTTTGCTTCTCAGATTTTATCAATATTTATTTATTTTCACAAATTTTTTGTGATTTAATTAGCTTAGATAAAAGGAAGGTATGGGACATCTGAAAAAGAAAATAAGACAGGAAATGGGTGTCTCATTTATTTTTTACTATTTCTTCATCAGTACCTAATATTTTAATGTTCTTTCTTTTAATTCTCCTTCCTCATTGGTGTAGACACTTCAATTGGAGACACCAAGTGGAAGATTTTCCTTTTCTCCCGTTTTCACTGGCCAATGCCGTCAATATCGGGCAACATCTCATATATCTCATGGTTCCATTGACTGCGATATTCGCTGTTGTCCAAATGTAGATGACTTTAAATCTTTCTCATATCCTTGCTTTCGAAAAGTCTAAAAACTCATAAGATGTTGTCAACGTCCACATTTTTTCAGCAAAAAGTGATGAGCGACTTGTAAAGTTTGTGCTTTGCTTGTAGGAAGAGAAAGTTATCTGCCGTTTAGAGTTGTTATTGGTATTTATTCTGGTTCCTGGAAAGACGAAACATTCTACAACGTCAAGGTAATGACTACACAGTCTGGAGAAAGCAGGACTTAAGGCCTTTTAATCTTAATAAAAACATTCTTTTTCGCTAGTAGTTGAACGTAGGGACAGTTCCATTATACCGAGTTGTTGATAAGTGTTTTCAAAGAGCAGAATCCAAGTTCTAATCGACGTTAGTACCCTAATGAGTATACGTTTTTTGTTGTATTTTTAATTTTTTTTTTTTTGTCGGATACCAGAAAATTCTATCAACCAGAGCCCATAAAGAGATGTCGCCGCGTTTTAGTTGTCAAGTATGATTAGATGATTAGAACCCAATGTTCATAAGTGCATTACGGGCGCTCTAAAAAGCATATTTACCACATATTTCTTAATTTTCGTCAATGCGCTATGCCTTGGTTTTTTTTTTTTGTTTTTTTCCAAGTAAAAATTTAAAATCTTCTTGGTCTACATACAATGTTCATAGCGATATTATAGTGACCAAGTCTTTCCATTACGGCCTTTAGGGAATAAAACATTTAAATTTTTATTACCCGAGCTGGGAGAGCGTTTGGCAGTGAGAAACTCTCTGAAAAGTTGTAGTAGTAGGGGAGCGATTTTAAACGCTTTTTTTCAAGATCTATAATACGTTAATCAATTTCAGAAACATTTTAATAGAACTAAAAATATTTTCACTATAAGATAAATGATTTCGTATTGCATTCAAACATACATACGAATTTTATTCCAGATCTGGATTTTTCGTATGTACGCCAAGCGTACTTGCGCGATAATGCACGATAACGTACTTTCGATATACGAAGCATACTTTCAGGCATTAACAATTGTGCTTAAACTTATGCATGTTTGTTCCTATTTATGTGTGCAATTCTCAAGAACTAAAAGGAATAAGTTTTTTGCTAGATGTTTGCAAACTTCAGGAATGGCTGAAAGTGGTCTGATCCTTTGGATCTCATTCTCTTAATTTAGCAGTTTTGACGATGAACAGGGCACAATGAATTACTCACATAGAATAGCCATTCTAAACTTTCAATACATTATCATAGTGTTTGCTCATTTCATTTTTAAATAACTTTCTTAGCTGTGTCATTGAGGAGAGGATATGAAAGCTATGAAAGATTTGATGAAGCTCAATTCAATAATGATAAAAATGTAGTAAAATCAGTAAAATTTGTTATTTTTTAAAAAGTTAGCCGGCATTTATTTTCTATGCCTCCTGATTAAATTTGTTTCAAAAAGAAATGGAAAAAAAGTAAAGAAATGTGTGTTAAACTTCAAGAGAAACAAAGTCATCGAACATTTAAGTTCTTTAGCTACATTTACTCAGGAGTAAAAGTTATATAAAATTAGCTTGCGAAAATTTTTACTACAGATATCCTTAGATAAAACCTTGACATGAACAACTTAAAGTAAATATTAAATAAATACAGATCCGACAGGAATATGCAAAATTTTATATTGATTGAGTCAAACCGAAATCGAAGATCTCTTGTCCAACTGCATTATGTTCAGTTTAATACAATTACGTTTAACATGAAAAACTGAATAATAACATACTTTTCAGTTCCACCAAGCGTACGAGCCATACCCACCTCTGGTCAACTGCAGGCGCGCAAGGGCGGACCAATTACATTGGAATGCAAAGGTTCCGGAAATCCCGTACCGTCAATTTATTGGACGAAAAAGGTGAGTGTCTCTCGTCATTATGAATATACAACACAAAAGTAATTAGAGAAACGAATCCACAAATGTTGGAATTTAACATTAAAGTACCTGACGACATAGTCGAATAAATACCAGAAATTGGATTCATTGACCGATTTGATTTTGATTCAAAGCAAATGAAGTTTACATGTAGATATTAGATATTATATCAGGGTTTGAGGTCCGATTTCACCAACATCCAGAATTATTAAAAGAAAAAAATTAAAAAAAGCATAAGGACAACTTATTAACGCCAACTTCTCTTAAGACCAATTCTTCACCGACCAAATCATTTACATCATAGACAGAAATAGATTATAATCGCGGTTGCGAGGTCCGAACTATAAGGTGGATGTATGAAACTACCAGCAAAGTTAGTTGATGAAACACATTTTCCCTCTTGTTGTCCAAAGCTGAGCGCTTCTGGGCGGTCAAACTGCTGACAGTACAGCTCCAGATCAGGAATGTGGCCATAGTAGGTCAGCTTTTAATTGATGAAAAAAACCACCAAACACACTATAAAACTCTTTGGTCGTCAATCCTGGCATGGGTACCGTTTGTGCCGGCCAAAAGTTAGAAATAAATATTTTAATAAAATAATATATAAGGCATGAAAAAATTTGGTCGCCACTGCTTTCTCATCGACCATGAAGTTCTCCATGGGCGAACTAATTGATTCAATAATATCAGTTTGAGAGGAAATTTTTTGATTTCGATTAAGTAATTTTTAAATTTGTTTATTCTTATTTTTTTTTGGTAAAAAACGAAAAAATAAACAAGCAGGTCAATGTACTTTAAGAAGTAAGGAAAGACGATCAACATTTTCAGTTGATATTATAATTTTTTTGATTACTAAAAATATCACTCTTGAGAAGGCGACTATTAAATTCTACAATCTGGCTTTATTATATTTATTATCAACTTTAATATGAAAACCTTGACAATAATTCTTCGAAACTATGCGCTTTTACTATAACATATTAAGGGGTTCATATGATATGACATGAAATGAGCGCACATCTACACATACATACATGCATACATGTACTCATGACAGGTATTTTTGAGGATTTCCAAAGAGTCACCGTAACGCACTCAGCACGAAATAATATAATATAACACAATGTTCCCATAGAATTTACTAAGCTCAAGACCACCACAAGAGGATGTGTTTGTAAAGCGTGTGACATCATTTTATGCACGTGTGTATATATGTTTTGCATACGAGTACTATATACACATGTATTGATGGGAGCACTCAAGTAGGACATTGTTGACTTAGTTCACAACCAAAAGACAATGTAATAACGTAATCACTTAAGCATTTTATGGACATAAGCAAACGTTGAATGACCAAGAAACACATACACAACCACACATACTTATACATGTACTGCGATCAGACGACTATGTGCATGCTAGGGAAATATCAATTTGGTGATATGAAACTACAATTGACTGAATTCAATCGAACTAGTCTGATAAATGCTTAACAGGCACAAAAACAAATTAAAAAAATATATTTTTAAATTACTCTTTCTTGCTTTTGATCCAAAACAGAACTTTTTAAGCGGTTCTGAATTAGTTTGAGATAAGTTTATTATTGTTTTTCTTTATCCCCACGAAAGCTTAGTGGTTAGCATCGGGCTCAGATCCCGTTGTCGTAGTAACATCCAAAAAAAGTTTATAGAAAAATAATTGAAATAAGAAATTAAGCTAAATTTTCTAATTGCGGTCGCCACACGGCAGGGAATTTCAAACCCCTTTAAGTGTACTTCGGACATGAAATAAAAGCTCCTCATAAAAAAACCATCAGCCGTTCGGAAGCGGCACTTTATAAATCGTAGGTCCCTCCATTTGTTAGAAAAACATCAAGACGCAAAATTACAAATTAGAGAAAGAGCTCCAGCGATTTCACAGCGCCAATTATATACTCGTATAAATGACAGTCTGAGGAAAAGTCTATCAGCTGTGTTTGCTAGACAAACTACTTTCACGACAGTTCCTGTCTAGTTCATTCCACGGCAGGTTAAGCTTAAAACCAACAACGCCAACTAATGTGTATGTAATAACTGCGACACAAGAGGGAATAACATTATTGTTGTAGTTGGCCATAATCACATGAAATAACTAACACATGCATAAACTCACAAATCCGAAATATATAACATTGTAATTTCTATAGGGATTCCAGTTCCAGGAAGCAACAAATGAACACTCTGTATCTACTATGTACGCTAGTATATGTTTATAAATACGTTTGTATGCTGGCACATTATATGCATTTGTGTGTGAGTGTGAAGTTTTTGATATACCCAACGTATGCATATATTAATATGGTCAGCAAACACAAGCAATTCAGTATTGCAATTTCGGTGTACGAACATGCACTTGTTTATGTACTAACATCTGTATATATATATATGCGTACATATAAACATATAAGTATTTTTGAAAGTACGTGATTTCGCTAGTGTGTTGTCAAATTCTTCAAGGGTGCGCATGTGTATGTCTATGTGAATGAACAAATGTGGTCCTAAGCCTCACCATAGCCGAGACACGCAAAACAATAATAAAGACAGAGCCACAAATCCTTGATGGGTTTTATGCGTGCTTGAATAGTAGAACTTTACATATGAATTTCGTATGTGTGTGTGTGTGTGTATCTTTCTATGGACAGTGGCGGTGAGAGGGAGAGCGAATAGAGAGAGAGATCGTTATAATTATGCGATTTGGTTTTCATGTCTCTGCATTAATGCTCGTAAATTGCATCTGAACAGTTGAATTGTTTTTTGTCGCATACAAATTTTACTAAAGAAAAAGGTTTGAATTTTGAATTCTGATTGTGATTTAAAAGATTTGCTACCCAAAAGTGCATTCATTTCAATAGAAAGTGTTAACTAGATAAGATTTTGTAGGGCTTTCGAAGAGCAGCCATCATACTGTGTGTGAAATTCAAATTTAATGCTGTTTTTGTGCTAAAAAGGAAGCAGGTGCTCATTGTTGTTGGTCTTCTAAGAATATCAGCTTCTACTGGGGTAAACAAGTAAGTAGGATTTTAGCATTCTGTGGCAATTTTTCTGTTGCAGAAACATATTTTAGTTTATAACGGCCAACCTTAGTACATATTGAGGATAATGAAACGAGCTCTATATAAAGAGAATTTACCTGCTAAAATGTCAAGCTGCTCTTTCAGTCTATGTCGCTTTGACGTTGGTTTGAGTAGATTTCCACAATTGAGAGAGTTTGAATTTATTAAGGTTAGTAGTCTGATAACTTGCTTATTTTCAATGCTTTTTTCCAAGTCGAATAGATAGTAGGTGAAGTTTCCACATTATATGATTGTTTGTTCTTCCTTCCATTTAGCAATTACACAAACAAAATATATTAAAAATAGCCTTTAACATTATGAACTTTCTATTCTTCTTCTTCTTTGCAACAGTGTGCTACTCGTTTCTTCTTTCTGTTGTTTGGCGCCGATTGGAAATACCAAGTACAGACAAATCCTTCTCTACCTGGTCTTTCCAACGAAGTAAAGGTTTTCCTCTTCCTCTGCCTTCACCGGTGGATACTGCACCGAAAACTTTCAAAGCTGGAGTATTCGCACTCATACTGATCACTGAAATATCCAGCCTAGCTGCTGGTTCTTGATTTCCTGAACTAAATCAATGTCGCCGTATAACTCGTACAGCTTATCGTGCCATAGTCTGCGAAGTTCGCCGTTGCCAACGCGCAAAGGATCGTAAATCTTACGCATAACCTTTCTCTCGAAAACTCTTAACGCCGACTGATCAGATGTTGTCATCGTCCACGCTTCCGCACCATATAGCAGGACGGGAACTGTGAGGGACTTGTATAGTTTGGTTTTCGTTCATCAGGAGTGGACCTTTGATAATCTCTTGGTACTAACATATCATGGTCAATTTGTTTCGGCGTCCTTTGATCCGTTGTCAAAAATAAATAGCTTGATTAACAATTATAATTCTTTCACCTTATTGAGGGCAACTATCATCTGAGCTCTTCTCTCTCGCCAAGCTGAGGGGGATAAAATCCTTTTTCCTTCTTTATTGTTGTTTTAGCATTATTAGTCCTTGTCCGTCAGCAAAATTCGAAGTTATCACCCAAGCCCTTTGTCATTGTGTTTAAATATGGGCAACTTTTGTTGAGAAATAGTAAATTATTTGCTTAATTTTCCTTGCCAAATAAAGTCGCTTCTGTCAAGACAGGCAATCTTACGATGTGTATTCAAAAATATCGCGAATTTAGTGTTTTTTTTTAATTATTTATTTATTCATGAATATCTATTTTGTCCCCTTCAAAGTAATCCCCATGAGATATTATACACTTGTATCAACGGTTTTTCCAATCTTCGAATCTCTTCAAAAAATCCTTTTTTGTGTTTTTTGTGTTCCGCCGTCTTTATCTCGTCAATCGTAGCGTAACGTCGTCTTTTCATGGGCCTCTTCAATTTAGGGAACAAGAAAAAGTCACAGGGGCCAGATCTGGAGGATGGCTGCGGCATCACCATCAGCAACGATGTGTGAGCAGGGGCGTTATCGTGGTGCAAAAGCCAATTTTTGTTCTTCCACGAATCCGGGCGTTTCTTGCGCATAACTTGCAGGTAATATTCCTTATTGACCGTTCTAGCCTGTGGCAATACCATTTTCTCCACTCCATTAATTTTTTCGTCTGTTCTTGAAGACCTCTTCGTCGTTCATATCTTCTCGGCCTTTTGAGAACACTTTGTACCACCGATAAACGTTGCTTCGGTCCAAGGTAGCTTCTGCCTATGCCACAGTCAACATTCGGAATGCATCCGCTATAGGAAAGTCTTTCAAAAAAAACTAGTGAAATTCAAAAAAATGCATGAATCTTTATTTGAATCGACAGTATGGTTCATATAATTTAATGTCCGAAGATTACATCATGCAAGTATTGATCGTGACTGCGCCTCAAATAATCCATCCGATTAGTCCAATTCT